AATTTCAGCTTTCTGATCATTTTTGGCCAAGGTAAAAAATGTGGGGCAAAACTTTTTGAGGGACTCTTGTATCTTGTTAGTATCAGGTCACATATCTCAATTGCACTGAATCTGTTATACCTGTGTTTGCATGCTTTTATAATCTTGTGGGTGTATTTTTATGGAGGCCCAAGGGCTTTTTAAAGACTTGTAGGATGGAGATGGAATCTCTAATGCATTTCAAAGGAAATATTTGCCTTCCCTCTTCAAAGGAAAGAATTCATCTCCAGTATCCTGTCTGGAGACACAGGAATTCATTTGATATACAGTAAAAACTCGTTAACTGATAAGTCGAAATTCCGCTTATCTCGAAGTTCAATGCTTGGTCCTGGCCGAATCCCGTAAGACACCATGTTAAATATTCCGTTTAACTCGAATTCGCTTACCTCGAATTTCCAGATATCTTGAATGAAATTTTCACTCCCAACGACGATTTTCTCATGGTTAACTCGAAATCGGGGTGTGATGGGGGAAAAACTATTGTGGGTCCTATCGATTTTTTGAGTAGGTGAAAGGCAAGAAACCTGTTTGGGAGAAAATCCTTTTGTTTCTTTTTTTCTTCTGCTTCCCCCTCCTCCCTTGCAGATGCCTGTGGAGAGGATTAAAACCAAAAAGCTTCTGCTATAAAAAGAAGCAACCTCTTGCACTTTCCCTGTCTGCCTATCACTCTCACTTCCGGCAATTCCAGTCATATTTGGTTTCTGGAGTACCGGATGAAGGGCATTGTGATGAATAAACTTTGCATATGGAGTATCAAAATTTCCATAGACATGAATTATAATTATAATGAGAAGAGAGTCGCTCCTTGAAATTGGATTCTTGAGGACGGAAAAATCGCTCTATTATATCCCTTAACACAAGTAATTTCCTTTTTTTTATGGTTAGAGGCAATTTCTGATAAGTTGAACTTCGGATAACTTGAAACGATTTGCCCGGTCCCCAAAAGTTCGAGTTAACGAGTTTCTACTGTAACTGAAATTTTGGTAAATCTGCTTT